CTTCCAATATTTCTTTGTTTGATATCTTTTTGAAATGTGTGATATGTGAAAGGTTCGATGTTGCTAGTACTAAGATTCTGATGAATCCTGCTGCCTAACACATCATCAAGAGGTCATGAACTGAGGACATGCACAGATGACTCATCTGAAACACCAGGTTCATGTTATTCAGACCTGAGACAATTCCCATCATCGTTAATTCAAAGCCACCAAAACACAAACAGTCAGATTTCATTATTCTTCACACCGCAGTAAAAGGGAGCCTCCAACCTGCTGAACAGAAACATCTAAAATGTAAAACTGCTGTCTATCAGCTGCACATTATTCCTCCAGTGTTCATGTGAGGTCCTTCCCTGTTGGGTCCCTGCGTGTCTCCGGATGGGTTCATGTTCTCCAGCAGGTTTCTGTACTGCGTCGTCTCCGTCTGGTGCCGAGCGATTTTTCTAGCGTAGTACCTCCTGGATGCGGCTCTCCAAGCTTCCCTTTGCAGCGTCTGCGACTCTTCGGGTAGCTCCGATATCAGCGTCCTCCTCCTCTTATCCACAAAAGAGCTGGGCTGTGAATACTGAGAGTTTGCGATGTGGGGGAAGTGGCTGGATCGCGATGGGTTTGCCTGCTGGCGAGCTATCTTTCGAGCATAATATCGTCTGGAAGCTGCTCTCCAGGCTGCCCTCTTCAGTCTCTGAGCTTCCTCTGGCAGCTCCGACATTGGCACGCTCTTCTTCTTGTTCCTGAGGAGGTAAAAGGTTGAAAAAGCAAGATTTTACACCAAAATTATTTCTGTTAGACACTTCTAAACTAATAGATATTAGAAATTAATCAACTAAAAGACACCTTGGGAATTTTTGTGCTCTGCGTTTACTTGGTTAGTCTCCAAGCTGTAGTCCTGTATCAGTGTCTTGAGGAATTACCTTTAAACATTTTTTAAAATTGAAAGCCAAAAAAAGAAAAAAGATACGAGGCACGGACTTTGGTTAAGTAGGGTAACGCAGACTCATTGCCCGCATAGAAACTGTGCTGACGTGCGTAATCATCCCACTAAGTCCCGTTTTGAGACAGGAAACACCCTGCATGTGTTAAGTTCCTGCACCGCTGAGGTTGCCCTATATTCCCCCAGTTCTCGCTCTCTTACTCATTTGTTCTCTGTTGTGGTAGAATAACATTTAAGTTGTCGTCAGAGGGTCCACAGATGATCTAATGCACCATGTCTCTTCAAATAAAGTTGGTCAGAGGGTGCATAACACGTTCCTGGAAGTATCGCAATAAAAGCCTAATAAAGAAGGAAAAGGTTGTCTCCAGTAAATCCTTACAGAGATGTTCGTTTGAAACAGATGTAAGAGACGTGGAATTATAATAATGAGTTCATAAGTTCAACAAAATGAGAGGATACTAAATTATAATCAATTGCATGAAAGGTGCCCAACTCTCACAACCACCTTTACAGCGCTGACAGTGTTACTTTCAGTAACAGATGAGTTTAACCCTTTAAGACCTACCATAGAACCAAGTCCGCCAGAGCTTATATTATAT